ATAAACATATTGTGGTTGACTTAGGCATCCCTCCTTCCCTTTCCATTGCCTGTAGAGGGAAGTAACCATCTCCCAGTTTAGATAACTTCAGATAATACCCTCTGTTTCTGAAGTCTTTTTTCCTAAAGAAGCCAGCTGACAAACTAAGGAAAAAAGAAACCTAAAAGATCACTTAAAGTCATCTGATTGCTAAATCTTTCTGAGTCAGGTTAGATATATATAGATACAGTCAATCTCAGCAGAAAAGAAAAAAAAATTGAATATTGAAAATATTGAAAAATGACAAAGTAGGTTTCACAATATCATCTGAAGATGATTAGCTGCACTCTCAGATGTGGTTTGTCCAAGATGTGCATTACTCCAGATACATGCAGAGAGGAAATGACAAATAAAGATGCAATGAATAGTGCTGCAGTCTGACTTGTTAATGTCTAGATCATGAAGTGGTAGACTGAACTTGAGTGGAGAGATACATTTACAGTCACTGGCGGAATTAAGAAGACATATTCAGCTTGGGATTCAACGAACCCTCTGCTATACAGAGCACAGAAGCATCAATACACAACATCCTATGAGAGAAGGATAGGCTAGTAATTTTTATCACAATTTGTAATGATTTCATGTAGTCTTTGTTTAAATAGATACTTTTAATGCCTCTGATGCTGGAGGAAACAATATGAATAAAGTTGAATAGTCGTAAGTATTTAATTATTAACAGATACTCCTAATGATTTTTAAAATTTGTTCTGCTGTTCATTTTCCTACTATCCAGGATGGTAAAGAATTACCAGAAGATGTGAAACCTATTTCAAATTTAATATTACTATTACCTGATGTTGGGTTCCCAAAATACAGTAACTTCTATTGCGCTCTGATTTAATACCCATAACAACCACTGAGAGTAAAATTTAAAAAGGATAAATCCAGGTGGCAACAGTAGGAAAGCACTTGGAAAAGTTATCAATTACAGCATATCCTAAGAATCTGCTGCTAGAAAGAGTTACAAAAAGAGCTGATATAGTTTAAAGATACTTTCCGCAGAAGAATTCCTAAGGAAAGGAGAGCGCTTTGGAATTAGTTCCCTTCTTAAATTTCCCTGCCGGTTAAAATTAAACTTCCTTAGTATTAACAGTAAATCAGAATCATCGACTGTAACTGTCTGAGCAACAATTCTGAGAGATTTGGGCTGCATTGTATTAATTGTTTGAAGTGTGTGGCTTTTCTTCAAAAATTTCAGTCTAAACTAGCCTCTCCATACCAAAGGAACAAGCTAACTCATCGGTGAATTATGGTTATTAAATCTGCCAGTGTTGAAGTCTATTGGTCCATAGCAGATTTGGAACAGCTGCTTCAGGAAATCTTATTCATGAACCTTGCATGATGAGGAACAGTCTTTAACTTCTGTGGATAGAAATTCATACTCTCAAAGCACTTTTTACAATAAAATTTCAAAAACATCTGTATGTTTATACCCTAAAATATATCATACATTTTTTCAGTAAATTATTTCAAGTTGAACTAATGCTTGGATTACCAATATGTGGAACCTTTTCTAAAATCTTTGATTTAAAATTAGAGAAATAGTGGTCCTTTATTCCTTCCAATCACAAGGACAGTTGGCAGCGGGAGAACTGACAGAATTACAGCTTTCTGACCAACAAACTAACTGAAAAAAAGACCTTTGAGGTCCTCAGATAATTACAGTTCAGTAACGGAAAAAAGAGCTTTCTGAAACAATGATTAAAAAAAAAAGTTAAAATAAACTCAGGCTGATTTCAACACAAAAACTTCTTAAAATTGTATTCACTCTTCAATTACAGTTAGAATCTAAGAATTTCTCACTCTCAAGCATCGCAGTCCCAAAACAATCATAAGCAGGATATGGTGAATTCAGAAGAGATTGAAAACCAGGTCATTTTTAACAAGCTTTTTATAAGAGAAGACTTAAAACTGTAGTTAGACACAAAGCTGAAATCAAAAACTTTTTGAGCTTCAGATCGTCACATGTCTCAACCATCAATAAATTGCCTGCTTCTGGAATTGCATAGGTAAGAAGAGTGGATCCAGACATTACAGACATTATCCACTTGTCTTTAACTTCTTCTTCTTTTTTTTTTTTTAAAGGATTAACTGGAGTCAAAATTTGTGACATAGATTTTCTTTAAGAGGGCTTACCCAGCTTAATATTGTTTCTTCAGCTCCACTGCATTTGCATCATACTAATTTAAATTCCTTTGGACACACTGGCACACGCTTTAAGCCCAAGTTGTGTATTACTGTGCTGTGAATTCTAATGCAACTTACACATGGACAAGAATAGAAGTTGAAAGTAAAATGCAAACACCTGCAACAACCTTTGAATTTAACCCTGTTGTTTTGTATCTGGCTCTTCTGGGCGAGTACGTCATCTTGGAAACTGAATAAGCTAAGCTTCGTGTTTCAGACAGAGTTGAAAACTGGCCAAGTTTCAAGAGTTTTTTTCTACTCGGTAGGACTAGAACTATGTTTATAAAAAGATAACCTTATTCTATATTAACTTCTTTTGTAATAAAATCTTTCTGAATTTTGCTCTGTTAGTTAGACGGTATCTGTTCTACTAAAGAGTTATCAGAGGTCTACTGTTGACATTAATATTTATAGCTCTTACATATCCCATATTTTGCAAATCCGTCTGCTCTTACATTCTGGACAGTAAAACAAAAACGAAAATAACACCGAAGACTTTCCATAAAAGGATGCAAGCTGTCTTTCATGAGACAAATAATTGGATAAAATAATCAAAGTAAATAAATACCACCAAATAAATATACCTGCCTGTAACCTCATATTCTTAAAATATCCTTTAGTGTAAGCTTTAATGTGGTGAGAAACAGAAGTAAAACAGATTAAAAATCTTAACTCGTCTATTTACAGAACTACGACAATTTTAGAACAAAAGCTTGATTAAACAAGCAAAGGAAAAATTCTTATGTTGCTTGTGGTAAGTATCTTACAATGTGACGTGATTCCACAAGCATCATTTCTAAGAACTACATTTACTTATCTTTAATGTAGTTAATTACCAAGGATAAAAGTTTAAAAAAAATAATGACATGAAAGACAGAAATTAAACAAAATTAGGCAAACATCAGAAAGGGACACTTGGCCACTAAGTACATTTTTAATTTGTTTTCCCCATGTTTTTAACAGAAATTTCATGACTTTTTCCCCAGTGTGTTATATATGGTGTATTTGTTGAAATGAACATAAAAGAATGTCAGATGCTTAACAATGGTCAAAGTTGTTTGTGAGTTTGTGCTACAAAGTGTTTAAGGGTATCTTTTACCGGACTTCCCAGCATATTTGGTGAGCTAATATTCCAAAGAAAATTGGAATAATTTCAAGGGCTTACAAATTCTTCAAATTAGGTTATTTAGTATTTCAACTTCTTAAATAAGCTCTGTTTTCTACACTGTTACCATCTTAAAAAGGACCAGTTACAACAAGGCCAGAAATTGAAAAGGTTTGCTCTTAAGTTCCTGGTCTGTCTAAGGCTAACACATTAAGGAAACATTAATGTGTGAAATATTGTCCTTCCTAGAACAAATCATCCCCTAATATAAGGGAGAGTAATCTATCAGAAAATATAAGTCATTTTTAATCAGAAAAAGATATAACAGAAACAAGGTTGCTTCAGTAAATCTGCAAAGAGTAATAGAAAATATAAGCTTTCTGATTACTAATCTGTATGGTAACACCTGTTGGCTATATATATACATATATATTTATATAAAACAGTAGCAGAATTTTCAAATCATTCTTTACAAAATATATTTTTATCCTAAAGATTCTACAAGAGTTGTAACAGAGTTGAACAGAGACTGCCAAATGCCCTAAACTTGCAGGGACAAGACAAATCCCATTTAAACCTTTCTATTAGGTTCCGACTGAGTTTCCTTAAAACCTTGCAAGTGATAGGCCTAATTCATTGTCCTCACAGTCCACAAGATGGCTGTTCTCCTCTCTGACAAAAGATATTGTTGAGATGCCTACCATACCATAACTGAACAATATAGCTTATAAGAAAGTATGCTGTGCAGGGCAGGTAAAGAATTCTAAAGTTTTCTAGGAGTATACTTCTCTTACATCTGAGGCCTTCTTTTTCTCTGTGGCCCTCTCACTGGCAACCCTGTAGGTTGAGGCAAAAAAAAAAAAAAAAAAAAAAGATCTTTCCAAGAACACATCCAGAACACTTCTTTTATGCCAGAAGTATGGAAAACGTAGTAAAGGCAAGTAAGAGTCAACTCTTTTTCACTGTTTAACATGGAGTTTCAATACCTAATTTGGGGAGGTACAGTCATTTGGGGCTACCTTCTGGGGATTATTTTCTGGGGCTACTGATGAATGGCTTGTTTATACACCTCGGCTATGATCAAATTTTCAGCGTTTGGGCATTAGACTCACTCAGGTTGGAACTCTACTTGAGACAGCACTGGATAATGACAGTTGAGTGATATCAGAGGGATCAGATTTTCCTTCTTTTTTAAATTATGCAAATCTTATCATAGGAGCCTTACTCGGTTATCTTGCTACTACTGAGTGTAACTGCTGTCATATCTGCTGCATATAATAAAATAAATTCCTTAAGATACGCGTCCTAAAAATGTAGAATGTTATTTTTATTAAAAAAACACATATTTGACTTGTTTACTTGAGAAAAAAAGTTAATTCTTAACCTGTGTTCCATAACGAACATAGGTTCATTATGTGTTCATTTTGCATTCAAATGAATGCAAAATTTTAAACAGCATCCATTTGACCAGTTTTCCTCAAAAAAAGTATAGACTGAGACAACGTTACCCAAAATTTCAGGCCAATCTATGTTAGAAGCAATTGAAAAGATGGTCTTACCCTGAAAAGAGGCTGACCAAACATAACAAGCAATAGTAAAGAAGATTACCTGCAGTGCATACTTATATTATTACGCTAATATTTGGAATTTGTCTTGACAATTCACTTACCTTGAATTCTTCAACAATAATGCTCAAGGCTTCATGTCCAGCTTTTCTCATGTCTTCTAACTCCTGCTTATGCTTCTCCTGCACAGAAATAAGGAAAGATCATATACAACATAGGCACCTGACACAGCCATAGCCATATTAATTAAGATCAACTAGTTTCCTCTTTTTTTTGTCTTTCATGAAAAAATGTAAATATCTTGGTTTTTTGCATATTACATATATGCTCGATTCAAGTTGTTTCTAAACTTATTTTTCTTTTTAAGTGCAGATTAAAAACATTCCAATATTTTTGCCTTTCTATGAAAATGCTTGCCTATGGTTTGCAGTCTAAGCCAGCAATTTGAACATCTCATTAGATTCTCATCAGCTTTTCACAATTAACAATGAGCAGCATTACTTTTTTCAAACCACTAATGAATAAGAAGCTGAACGATTTTCCCTCTTCCCTCATTCTCTGCTTCCATGATCTCTTCTTAAATCAGCTAGTACAGCAGATTGCACATGTATTAAATGTCCTAGGAAAATTGGTGCAGAATGCAGAAAGGCACTCATCATAAACCTTATCTTGCAGTGATTACAGGGCAACTCTATACACAACTTACACTATATATTTATGGGTTTTTGGACGGAATTTAATTTGGAAATTATTAATTGAGCTCTAAGTTTTCTAAGATCCATATGATTGAAATGGAAAATCTAATATAAAAGCATGTTCGTTATGAATATCTATATAACACTATTAAAAACAAATTCAACAGTCTAACTCTATTAAATTAGATTAGCGATTTCTTCTGCCCTGTCATTCAGTTCCTTTCTACTGAAAGGATCATCTTAGCAAAATATTTGAAATTATAGCTACTCATACTGCTTATCTTTGGCCCAGACACAGCAAGACATTCAGATTTGAATCAAACTGGTTTTCAGGAAAGTGTGGAGCTCCACAAGAACTGATACAAAGCAGAATTGAACATGGAAATATTTCTAAGTGTAAACAAACAAACTACTACTTCAGATAACAATGCACGCCGCCTGGTTACATCAGTTGAGTCACATTGTGAGGGACAGACATCATTGACAAACTAGCTAAATTGAGATGTTTTATATAAAATAGTCCTGTGAACTAGCCATGTTTTTACAGTAAAAATTAGAATTAGTATCTAGGGGAAAAATATGATCCAGTGTTTAACTTAAAAACTTCACAAGTCATTAACAAATTAAATTAATTGTGAAAAGTGAACATGGAAAAAATAGGAAAACAGTCATTGCTGTAGCAGCATATCCTTGATTCATGCATATGAAGAAAAGAATTACATAAAGGAAGGTCATTTTCATTATTTTAGCGGGGTGAGGAAGCAAGAGAAAGAACTCTAAATTGAAGAAAGCTTTTAAATCAGAGGAGTTTTAAAAATATGGTGTCAAAGATCTTTCAGAACTACTTTAAATGCAACATAGTGAGACATACTGGATCAACTATGTTGATAGAGGAAATAACATATTTCATCCCAATAAAAAGCAGGGCACACCTCACCAGCATTACCAGGCAAATCAAGATGCAAAGCAAAAAACGCAGTTTCTTTTCTGACAGAGAATTTCAAGTTTTACAGAATTTGTTACTTATTCACAGTCACATGCCATATGTCAACTGATAGCATAAGACGAAGCATCAACACCAAGGTATAACTACCAACATGAAAATCCCGTTTGTCATAGAATGGAATTGCTACCCCTGATCAATTCAGGGAATAAATATTTTAGAGTATTTACTTTAAACATTCCCTGAAGAGCAGCAAATATTCTCATTAGTGAAGAACTACTGGTAAGGTATAATCTGTCTAGAGTTGATCGGGTCTAGCAATCCATTTCTATGCCACAACTAGCAGAAAGAATGAAAGGTATTATTTTAAGTACACAGAAGAAAAGTTTTAAGGTCACACTGCGATTCTCCCTCCAAAGAAAGACTTCATCCAATCTAGTGAATTTTGGAATATTTATAAACATGCAAGTGCTACACTACATTGCCTGTAGTGTGTGTCTATTTGCAAGATTTATCTGCTAAGATAGCAGACCTGTAAGTTTATTTCTTCTGAACTGTAAAAGAGTGCAATTCAATTCCTTCTGATGATGGTAGACCTTTTCTTCTGAAAGTTTGTCAAATACTGTTTCCTAACTGTATTGATATATCACTCCATGGAATGTGTGCTTGGTCCTTGAAATATTCAATAAAGAGAAGAGAAGACCAAAAGAAACTGTAAGTAACATTTTGGAAATGTATGTATTGATCTATAGTCTAATAATGAAGATACACAGCAAAGTTCCTGAGTTTCATAATTTGACTGTAAACAAAAGAAGAGCAGCACACTGATTCAATGAACAATGGTCATGGCAATTCTTCACAAATCCTCAAAATAAACTCTGCTTTCTGCAGAAAAAATGCATTTATGAGTTGACATAACTACTCTGGTTTTAAGAAAGAAAGGGCAAGGTCTGTGAAAACTTTTGAATGGTGTGGACCTAACATTAAGATGTAATCTACAGATTCCGTATTACAGAGAATTCTGTGTTTTCTGCCTCTTGTAGAGTCCACCTATATGATTTGTATAACTTTGGAAAGTTTTTCAAGAATGTTGCTGTTCCCTTCCTGTATTTCACAAAAGCTTTTAAGAAAAGAATCAAACAAGAGTTGAGAGAGTTCAAAGTTCAGTAAAATGATCCTCAGAAGACATTCACCTTGTTCCCTCGCGCTCTCATGGACAGAATCTCACATCACAGCACTGATAGGTAATTAAATAGAAATTTGGAAGGTGGATTTTTTTTTTTTTTTGTGATCAAAATCTTGATGACCGTTCTAGATAACACTGAGAAGGAAGCATTCTATGCTGACACAATACAGAAGCAATAGGTAATAAATAACTCATTATTCCATGATTATGAGTGAATACTGAAAGGCTTCAGTGAAAACTGAAAGGTTTCAATCTTTAAGTTTTGTGAGTCTTACATGAGTAAATATATCTTTGCAAATTATTTATGTATAAGACAATATGTTTTAATGTTAACAAATGCATGTGTCTTCATGAATACATCAGGTATACCTTGAGTGATAAAAAGGAGAAAATGGGAACAAACTTTGAAAGCTTTCTTACAGCCTAAAGCAAAGAAGTGCCTCTAAACTCTAATTTTCTCTTATTACGCCACTAGGAATCATAAACCACTTTAGAGGAACGCTTATCAGAAAGTCCAGCAGCTGGGCAGATAGGCATCTGCACCAGCTGTGATAGCAGAAGAGGTTACTGACCACTGGTCTCTCAGCGCTCCTTACGGATTGCCAGCTGCATTAACGCTTCTCTCAGATCTCTGCACTGAATTGCTTCCTAAATCACTTCAGCCTAAATGAACCGTAGTTAGCATAAACAATTTAAACAGCGGTCTTTGTTAACATCCATTTTGACAGACGTGCTAGGCATGGCTATGTGAATACTAGGAAGTGCAAGGGTGACATCTCTCAATAGTGTACAATGTAAGAACAGCAAGAAGAAAGATTGTGAGATCTATGGGGGGAAAGGAGAGGAAGGACCTGCACCTTAACTGCTGTGTATTCACTCACTAACATCTATTTATCCCTAAATTGATAGATTTTCTGCTACCTTTTCAAGAGGCAGAATGTCTTGAATTTTGGGGGACGTGTGTGTGCGCTACCCACAGACTCTGTACAGATTCCCTACTAACCTTTCATTCTGGCATATAAGCAAGTTTCACATATACTGCAATAGCAGTAGGTAAAACTGTGTATCAGAAGGGAAGAAAAGATGCTTGCTGTCTTACTTTTTTCTCACCTAACTCAAAGCAACCCCATTTCTTTCCATTATCAAAAGCAGAAAAGATAACTACAGTTCTTTAGGAATGCTCTATCCCTTTCAGAAAGTAAATAAGACCTGGCACTTCTGGCAGCCAGTGTATTTGTTACTCAATACACAGCTGTTTTTGTCCACACAGTATGGGTAGAGCCAAAGCACGTCATACTATGGCAAAAGAGCAGGGAAGGCCTGCAGTACTAGGAGACAATAAGATTTGTAATAGCAAAGCTTTGGAATACCACAAAACAGAAGGAAACAGAATGAAGTAACAGCAACTAACTATTTTGAACTGGTTTGTCAAAGCAGATGCTTAGAATAATATCTTCTTGTGCTAGTGCTTCTGACCCATGTCATAATCGGCAACAAAAAAGAAACTTGATACAGCAGTTTTAGGGCCACCAAATAGAACCACCTGAAAAGGAGACAAATGGCTACATATCAAAGTATTTTTTGATAACGATCAGCCCATAACAGTAAACACCATAATAATTTCACAATGCCAGCCCTACAGTGGGTAGAACTAACATCAAAAACATTAACACCAATAAAACATTTAAAGTAATTGAACAAATGAATTTATATCACGTCTATTCAATTTGTGTCATTTTCTCCACAGGCACAATTTCCTCATCGATTTTTTAATTATTCTTGTGATTAGGGTAAAAGAAGTTAAATTAATTCTACCTCTTATTTTATTAGGATATCAATAATCATAATCTATAACATAAAAAAAATTAGAGCAATAATGCATAGATGAAACAAAAGTCAGATCTGCATAACAGTACTAAGAAACCACACCTATGGGGGAAATAACATGATGGAAGAAATAAAATGAGTTCTGGAAAAGTTTCTAAAATTTTTCCCACTATCATTAATAGTGAACTATGATTTATAATAAAATCTATGTTTTGGGGTCAACTGACATGCACTTATTCCAAAATCCTATTTTAAAAAAGCCATTATCCTTTAGTAAAAACATATCAATAAAACGTTAAATCAACACAGTGTACCCACATTATAACTCTACACATGCTTTTGTTAACACCTGTGAAGAGTCACATATTAGTATGTGGTGTGCAAGCCAGTTATTCGAGTTGATGTTGATTTTGCCTATCTTTTGCAAGGCTGTGATAGGTCCAGAATTATCTGCAAGTTGGAGCCAGCATCTTCCCCCCTAACTTCAGTACTACAGCAAAAAGGCAACAAAGTGTAGTCCTCTGCACGCAA